TTTCCATTATGAAGGTAGTTCAATAAAAGCCACCCGCCACCAGATATCTAGCTTGTCCCTAGAAAAATGGTGCAATCTCAGGGGGTTAAAATTGGCTCTGTGCTATTGGCAAAGTGGTCATTCAGCAGTAAAGGTAGCCAGGTTGGTGTTGGTGAGTGGAAGTCCATTTTGCTGAGCATATGTACAACCTCCATACCTGCCACCATGAGGTCCTTTTTTCATGAGCCCACTGGATAGAGATGGATGGGGAAAGAGGATGAAATCCAGAGGTGACATCCACCTGATTATTAAGGTCCTTCTTTGCTGAGGTTGCTCTTTGATGGGCATTCACACCAAATACAAATATTACTGTGTCCGTTCAAAAAGATATCTACATACTTCCAATTATGTTCCTTCCAAGTCCATACTGAATTACCCAAACAATTAGCTACTGCCACAAATCAGAAGGGATCTACATCTCTAATTATCTCTCTTTCTAGGCAAAATGAACAACTAGAAACACTGCTCCAAGTTCTACCCACTGGAAGAATGTCCTTTCAACACTGCACTTCTGAGTCATCACTGCATATGGAGACAGTGCTACAGATATCCATCTTCAGATGGTACCAGCATATGATGTAGAACAATCTGTAAACTAGGATTAAGGTTTTTCTGCCTCAGTCAACTGGAACTCCTCTTAAGGCCACAGGTGTGGGCTGAGAGTGAAGAAAAGAAGCATGAGTATGAACCACAAGGTATATAAAATATTCAGTAATAAAAGGAGGTTATAAAATAATTATACACCTGTTTTTAAAAAAGAAATGTGCAGAATGTACATACAAACAAAAAACATCTAAAAGAAAATTTATCAATATATTAGTAGTTACCTCTGGGTGGTCAAATATGGGTGATTTAATATTTATGTTTTTCTGTATCGAGTTTTCCAATAATCAGAAAAAATGATTTTAACTAAGCAAATTCTCTTCATATAATCTTAATGGAGAAAAAAACCAACAGAATATATATCTGTATATACAGCAGAATCTAATTTTGTTTGGTATAATTAAGTACCTATACAAACTAACTCACCAGATAAATCAGCATGTTAATAGTTGGATTATAAATGATTTGTGCTCTCATTTTGTGACATTTCCAGATAAACACGTAACATTTTTTCTGCAACTATCTTGCAGACACTAAGAATAAGGCTAATAAAACCTCTCTACCATCCTGCCAATATGAGGAGGAAAACAAAAGAATCCTTGACGACACTAAGCTAAAGAATTAGCCAGTTTGGCTCAGTGGATAGAAAGTTGGCCTGTAGACTGAAGGGTCCCAGGTTGATTTCAGTCAAAGGCACACATCTGGGTTGTGAGCTCGATCCCCAGTAGGGGGCGTGCAGGAGGTAGCCAATTAATGATTCTCTCTCATCATTGATGTTTCTATCTCTCTCTCCCTCTCCCTTCCTCTCTGAAATCAATAAAAATATTTTTTTCTAAAAAGAATTAGCCAACCCTGGGCAATCCTACTTTAGAGTTTCTTGTGATATAAAATAATGTTCTCTAATATTTAAATCCAATTGAGTTTTATTACCTACAAATACATTCTAAATAATTTAACTTTTATATGAGGAAAAGAAAGAATAAGTTTCAAAAAAAGAGTCTTGATTAAACTTAAAAGTAACAATTTGTAGTAATACTTCTAATCAAATAGACAAAAAAATCTATTAGGGTAACTCAAATAATTAAGGCTATTTTCTAAACTAATCCATTAATTTACAGCTGATTGTGTTACTCATTAAAATGTTATCTGAGAAATCAGTCTAGTTTGCCCTTCCCACATGGCAATTATATTTTAATCTGTATTAGTCTGTTCAGACTGCCATTAACAAAAATACCAGACAAAGATTTAAACAACAGAAATTCTAGAGACTAGAAAATTCAACATTAGGATTGTTTCTTGTGAGAGGTCTCTTTCTAGCTTGCTGTGTCCTCTCACATTGCGAACAAAAATTGATCTCTGATGTCTCGTCTTCTTTTGTAAGGGCACCAGTTCTAAGGGATGCTCTACCCTGACTTTAGTTAACCCTTGATCACCTCCTTAAAAGCCCTATCTCCAATACAGTAACATGGGCGGTTAGGGTTTCAACATATAAATAGCGGGAGGCATAATTCAATCTACAGCTTAATATTTTTCCTCAAACATTAAGAAATACACCCTTCTTATAAATACCCACAATAGAATACTGAAAGTAATACTTTTTTGTTATTGTTTTTGTTAATCCTCACTGGAGGATATTTTTTCCATTGATTTCTTTAAAATATATTTTTATTGATTTCAGAGAGGAAGGGAGAGAGAGAAACATCAATGATGACAGAGAATCATTGATCGGCTGCCTCCTGCACACCCCCTACTGGGGATCAAGCATGCAACCTGGACATGTGCCCTTGACCAGAATTGAACCTGGGACCCTTCAGTCCATAGGCGGACACTCTATCCAGTGAGCCAAACCATCAGGGCTTTCCATTGATTTTCAGAGAGTGTAGAAAAGAGGAAGGGAGAGAGGGAGGGAAACATCAATGTGAGAGAGACACTCTGACTGGTTGCCTCAGGCACATGCCCCCACCTGGGCCAGGAATCAAACCTGCAATCCTTGGGTGGTTGGGCCAACACTCTAACCACTGAGAAACACCAGCCAGGGCTTGACAGTAATAATTTTTACTGTTATGTATAACTATTTAGTTCTCAAAATATTTTCACAGAGTAAACTAAGCAAACATCCTGGTTTCACAGATAAAGGCACATATCAAGCTTAGAGATACTAATTTGTACAAGAATACTCTAACTAGTAAGTAAAGAAGCTAGGACTAGAACCCAGATCTGAACCCTAGTCCAATGATCTTTACAAAGCTCTTAATCTTGTCATATGCACTTAAGCGATAGGAATTTTATTTCACCTACCAGTAATGTTCTGGACAACAAAAGCAGCTTGGGTGTCAGTAAAGGGAAGGGCAAAGAGCAAAAGCAAAATGAAATGAACAAGAACATTAGCTTGGAGGTGAACAAGCTTAAGTAGTCAGCAGGCCCAATAGGGAAATACAACACAAGGCTAGAGAAATCCTATAGGCCCTTGGGGAATTTAGACTTCCTGAGGCTAAAGGGGAACCACTGAAGCATTTTTAGATAAGACAAGGCCAGTTTTTGGCTCTAGAAAGATCACTTCAGCTGCAGTTTTATAAAGTGGATTGGAAAATACAGAGAAGACAAGAATGGAGACAGGAATTCTGTTTTAATATGTACTCTGTACCACACACAAGAAAGGCAACTTTATGTTAAAAATTCCCACTTTAACACTGGGGGGGGGGGGGGGGGGGGATGGTGAGCTCAAGTACCTTGCCCAAAGGAAAGGCATGGTACTTCCACTATGCCACACTTCATCCCAGTCTATAATCCTAAGAGTGAACAAAGTATAGTTCTAATGTGTCAGAGTGAAACTACTAAAGTATTTTCCCTAAGATAAACCACTCCAAGTCATCATTATCTAATTGGTGTATCACATGAATTTTTTTAACAGAAAAAAAGTTTTATTTATATATACAACATGCATATATGTGGGAAAACTGGAGTAACTCAAAGGAGTGGTTATACTTTAAGGCTTATACACCATCTTAACATAAGGGCAACAAATTGGGGAGAATTGATTAGACAAAAGAAAGGGGGAGTTAAATTGTGTAGTAAATTGTGGCAAGGAAACTAGGAACTGCATGGTAGAAAAGGGTTATTTAGTAAGGTGTGTTAAATGTACCACATGAATTTGTAATTAACCAAAAGGGAAAGACAATAGAGAAAGCTTTCTCAGGATAGCTGAGAATGTTTCTGTAAATTACTTTTTTTTAATGTATTAATTGATTTGAGAGAGAAGAGAGAGAGAAACATCAATTTGTTGTTCCATTTGTTTATGCAATCATTGGTTGATTCTCATATGTGCCCTGACTGGAAATTGAACCCGAAATTTTGGCATATTGGGAAGATGCTCTACAAGAATGTTTTTGATCTACAAAACAACTAATACTCTATGGACAGATTCTATAAATAAAACAAAACTTAAATATGTAACACTTTTTTATGGTATTCCTCACCAAAGTAACAAACTCACATCCTTAATTCAAACCCAAATAAGTGTGCTTTGCCAGGAAATTACTTAAGGAATGCAGTATAATGCTTCGTTTCACAAACTGCAAGGTAAAGTGGTAATTAATACTTTCACAATGAGCATAACCCTTAATTAACTGACTTGAGGAAAACAAAGTACTTCTGCTAAAAAAAAAAAAAAAAAGTCCTATAAATACCAACAAAAGTATCTTGTCCTACCATTGACTTCCTCACACAGCTTACAATATAGTCTCACAAAATCAATCTTAGCTGTCTCAATCCTAGTGATTCATTAACCATATTTTGCAAACAAAACAATCGGAGCCAGTATGATACTTTCTGATAAACTACATTTTCCTAATTTCTTAATCTGTTACATGAAAGTAAAGGACTCACAAAAGTATAAGAATCAATTAATAAATTTTTATTGAAATTCTAAATTACAGCTATTCCAAAATAATCTAAGATGCAGAGTCATTCTCACAGCTCTTTAAAAAAAAAACACCTGAGCCCTAGCTGGTTTGACTCAGTGGATAGAGCATCGGCCTAGGGCAGTGGTTCTCAACCTTCCTAATGCCACGACCCTTTAATACAGTTCCTCATGTTGTGATGACCCCCAATTTCATTGTTACAAATTGAACATAATTAAAGCATAGTGATTAATCACAAAAACAATATGTAGTTATATATGTGTTTTCCGATGTTCTTAATATATTATCTTACTGTGATGTACATTAATATAATTTATACATATTTCATTTTACTAAGCATTTCTCTTGGAACTTCTATGGTTCCAACTTTAGAACCAGTAAGATTTCTTCAAATCAAATTTGGAACATACTCAAATTGGAAATAAATTAAATAATTACATCATTTTAGCCCAGCAGGTGTGACTTAGTTGGTTGAGCATCAGTCCATGCACCAGGAGGTTGCCAGTTCTATTCTCGGTCAGGGTTCATGCCCTGGTTGCAGGCTGGATCCTCAGTGAGAGGTGTGCATGAGGCAGCCAACTGATGTTTCTATCTCTTTCTCCCTCTCCCTTCCAAACTCTGAAAGCAATAAAAACATTTTAAAAATAATCATAATAAAATCAAATCCAGACTCCTATTAGTAGTACCACAAAAGGAAGACATTAAGTCTACTAAACCAATCATTTAAACCAAAGTTCCTCAAAGTGTGGTATTCAGAAGGCTTAGGATCCCTAATTCTTTCAGGAGTTTCCAAAACTATTTTCATAATAATACCAGTTATTTGCTTCCTCTTCTTTATCCAAAAATATTTTTCATTAATAAATATTTCACATGTCCTGTGTTTAATGGAAAATCATGTTATGTAAATAGCCCAGTAAACTTTTTCTATTTATGTTTCAGATCATATAATTTTTCTTCAAAATCTGTGATGTTTTCAAAAGTAGATCTTGACATGAATTTGACTGATCAATTGATCCTACAGGATAAGCTCTATAGAAGCGGTCGTGAACTGGTGGTCCATGGAGGTCCGTGAGGTCCCAAAGGTTGGCGACCACTGCTCTATAGGACTCAAATTCAAAATCAGCAGTATCTTGATCAAGTAAGTATCAATGCTATTATTTTAATCCCATAGCTTTGAAGTAGGAATCACTAAGTTTTCTCTTGGAATAGAATTTCTCTTGGGTACAAAACTATTATTAAGATTTCCAACACAAGGTGTCTTCAGGACTGGCCTCATATTAGGAGTGCTGAGTAAAGATCTATTCTGCTGTTTCTGCAAGAGAAGTTTGGTGCTGACCTCTGCTACCCTCTCATTAGTCTTGTTTAGTTTATTCACCGATGACTTTCTACCTTCTAATTCTTCTTGGTAGAATTGCTTATATTTTTCCAATTCTATTTATTACAATTTTGAGAAGTTTTCATTTTGGAAGAGTTCATATTCCAGATCTTTATTTCTGAGTTCCAACTGACATTTTATTGAAGCACTATGATGCTGTATTAACAGCTCTTGAGTTTTTTTGAGATACTCTTTGGATCTGTAAAAATAGATTGCCTTCTTTAAATTTTTCTATTATATCCTCTCTTGCATTTGCCTTCTGTTCTGTGTTGACATTTGCACTGATAATGCAAAAGCAAATTACTAGCCTCTTAGCACAAATGAAGACAGTGTCACCAAATGTACTAATAGTCATTGAGTTCTTTACTGCCAACCACTCAAAGGAAAAAAGTTAGCTTCACTTTTTTTTTTTAAATAAATTTTATTGATTTTTTACAGAGAGGAAGGGAGAGAGATAGAGAGCCAGAAACATCGATGAGAGAGAAACATCGATCAGCTGCCTCCTGCACATCTCCTATTAGGGATGTGCCCGCAACCAAGGCACATGCCCTTGACCGGAATCGAACCCGGGACCCTTCAGTCCGCAGGCCGACGCTCCATCCACTGAGCCAAACCGGTTTCGGCAAAGTTAGCTTCACTTAAAAATGTTCTCTCACGGCTGGTGTGGCTCAGTGCTTGAATGTTGGTCAACCCATGCACCAAGAGGTCTCTGGTTCAATTCCTGGTCAGGGCACTGCCCAGGTTTCAGGCTCAATCCCCAGCAGGGGGCGTGAAGTAGACAGCCAAATGATGATGTTTCTATCTCGTATACATTTCTCTCTCTTTCTCCCTCTCTCTCTAAAAATCAATAAAAACGTATTTTTTAAATGTTCTTACTAAAGCAGAAAAAAGTACTAATCTTATTCAATCTTGACCCTTAAGATACCTTTTAAGGTTCTGTGTGACATAATGGGAAGTCTACATAAAGTAATTCTGCTTGTGATGTAATTACAACCATCACACTTGTAATTCTAAGTGTGATGGTTGCCTTTAGGGAAAAGCACTTGTACAATTTATTTGCAAGCTAAATAAGCCATAGAATGGCCTAGCTCAGTGGTTGGCAAACTGCGGCTCGAGAGCCACATGTGCCTCTTTGGCTCCTTGAGTGTGGCTCTTCCACAAAATACCACGTGCAGGCGCACATGTACAGTGCGATTGAAACTTCGTGGCCCATGCGCAGAAGTTGGTATTTTGTGGAAGAGCCACACTCAAGGGGCCAAAGAGTCGCATGTGGCTCACAAGCAGCAGTTTGCCGACCACTGGAGCTAATTTGGCTCAGTGGATAGAGCTCAAGGGTCCCGGGTTTAATTCCCATCAAGGGCACATATTATACCTTGATTGCAGGGCTCCTCCCTGGCCTGGGCCCTGGTCGGGGCTCGTGCAGGAGGCAACCAATCGATGTGTTTCTCTCACATCAATGTTTCTCTCTGTCTTTCCCTCTCTTCTACTCTCCCTAAAAATCAATGAAAAAATATCCTCAGGTGAGGATTAATAAAAATAAATAAGCAAGCCATAGAACGCCAAAAAATGACTTCATTATTCTTCAAAAAAGAAATGACAAACTGATTATTCAGACTGGATATTTGGCAAACATTTTCCTAAAAATGTACTAATTGAGCCCAGTACTTGAAGGAAAATAACTGGAAATATATGTTGCCAAGAGTACAATTCGAGCTTTCAAGAAAAATTAGAATTTTGGAAAACTTGTATCCATCAAGGTGAGCTTGGGAAGCTGTTCAATTATGACTCATAACATCTGTGGTGATATTAATAAATATGATTTTTTTCATCCTATATAATAAAAGGGTAATATACAAATTGACCCTAACGGGCCCGGGAACGACCAGTTGCTATGATGTGCACTGACCCACCAGGGGGCAGACGCTCAACGCAGGAGCTGCTCCCTGGTGGTCAGTGCACTCCCACAGGGGGAGCTCTGCTTAGCCACAAGCTGGGTTGAGGGCTGTGAGCGCAGCAGTGGTGGTGGGAGCCTCTCCCGCCTCCTCAGCCGCACTAAGGATGTCCAACTGCAGCTTAGGCCCGCTCCCCGGATATCCCCCGAGGGCTCCCAGGCTGCCAGAGGGATGTCTGACTGCCAACTTAGGCCTGATCCCCTGGGGAGTGGGCCTAAGCCGGCAGATGGACATCCCCCGAAAGGTCCCGGACTGCAAGAGGACGCAGGCTGGGCTGAGGGAGTCCCCCCGCCCGAGTACACCAATTTTCGTGCACCAGGCCTCTAGTATCACATAATGAAATGTGCCAATATTCAAATCTGCATCACTAAGTGAACAAATATTTTCTGAATGACCCATGCAACAACTTTTAATGTACTGCAGTACAGAATGTTCCTTGATATGGTTTCAAAAAAGTCCACATTGCAACCAATCTTTAAGAAACTACTATCTGACAAGTTGTGATGTAGTATCAAAGAAAATTATTCACAATTTAATGCACAGGCTATGGAAAATACTTTCCTTTCCAACTATATAATTTTATGAAGCCAAAGATTCTCATCCAAAATAAAATATCACAACAGGTTAAATGCAGAAGCAGATATAAGAATCTAGCTTTCTTCTATTAGCCAGTCACTAAAGAAATTTGCAATAATGTGAAACAATGCCATTCTTCTCATTCAACTGTTTTTGTTTTGGAAATCTATGTTTATTTCTCAAAAAATATATTAATGTGCCCTGACCAGGAATCAAACCCGCAATCTTCAGGTGCACAGAGGACGTTCCAACCAACTGGCCAGGACTACATGTATTTTATTTTTGTTTTGTTTTTTTTTTAAATATGTTTTTATTGATTTTTTAGAGGGAGAGGGAGAGATAAAAACATCGATGAGAGAGAAACAACATTGATTGGCTGCCTGCTGTATGGGGATTGAGCCCGTAACCCAGGTATGTGCCCTGACTAGAAACTGAACCAGTGACCTCTTGGTGCATGGGTCAATGCGCAACCACTGAACCATACCAGCCAGATGCTACATGTTATTTTAAATGAACTAAAAAATGTTTTAAACTTCATTTTAATATTTGATATAGTTAATACTGATAGATGTAACCCACCTAAAGAAAAGTTCTCTGGCCCTAGCCGGCTTGGCTCAGTGGATAGAGTGTCAGCCTGCAGACTGAAGGGTCCCAGGTTCGATTCCGGCCGAGGGCATATGCCTGGGCTGCAGCTAGATCCCCAGTGGGGGGTGTGCAGGAGACAGCCGATCAATGATTCTCTCTCATCATTCATGTTTCTATCTCTCTCTCCCCTCTTCCTCTCTGAAATTAATAAATATATTTTTTAAAAATGGTTTTAAAAAAAAAAGGAAAAGAAAAGTTCTCTGGCATCCTCAATATTTTTGAAGCATATAAAAGAGTCCTGCCGAAACCGGTTTGGCTCAGTGGATAGAGCGTCGGCCTGCGGACTGAAAGGTCCCGGGTTCGATTCAAGTCAAGGGCATGTACCTGGGTTGCGGGCACATCCCCGGTGGGGGATGTGCAGGAGGCAGCTGATCGATGTTTCTCTCTCATCGATGTTTCTAACTCTCTATCCCTCTCCCTTCCTCTCTGTAAAAAATCAATAAAATATATTTAAAAAAAAAAAAAAGAGTCCTGACAAGATTCTGCATTTTTTAGACATTTAATAAAAACAGAAGACAAAAAGTATTTAGAGCCATTCCTTACCAATATCTAGTGGATTTTTAATTCATGACTTTATTAATACTGTAACCAACACGACACCACCACCAAACAAATGCTGCAAGTGTAAAAAAATAATAATAATAAATAAAATAAAAGAGTCCTGAGATCATAAACTTCAGTACTGTTGATCTATATTACAGAAAATTACTCAAGGGATAAAGACAGACATTCTAGCCCTGACTCGTTTGGCTCAGTGGAAAGACAGACATTCTAATTTAACACACCATCACCTATATTTTCTCTTTTCAATAAGACTTAGAAAAATTGATTTTAATATAAAGATTTTAAGAATATTTAGTAGGACGCATAGTTCATAAATACAACAAAATAGGTATAAGTAAATC